CAAATGAAATGTAACTTAGTCTAACAAAACAAAAACATGTGGAACGTAACAATTCAACTTTACAAACACTTTGTGTACAACTATAACTTTGTTGAAGAGACATATGTCACATTTAAACTTGAATCTGATGAATCAGTTCTTTTCTAATGTGACAGATACATGAGACACCTCAGGTCTTATATCTTCCTTTTCTACTTTGTCATTGCATTACAAACATTAGAAAATGACCAAAGAAATGATCCGCCCTGTCCCAAATAAAGGCGGGTAACGCTGCTCACAGCTTACTAGTGAAAGAAGTTAATCGATGCATGAAATGTTCAACCAAACTTTCAGGAATACAAAATAAATACACAATTTAATTTATTTTCTATGCTACTTACTGTACCGAATACTTTTAATAATTTACAAGCACTAGCACAAAATTATCACATGACAGCTGCAAATACTAATCAAGCCAAGACTTGTCTTTTTTTCCTGTTGCCATCCATTCCCAACGTCTGTTGACACAGAACTTTATTGATCTGGAAGAGAAGCAAAGGGAAAAAAAGAGTAGTAATTATTTAAGAATATTGCAATCTTTACCAGACCTTTTTGCCTGTTTTAAAATCAGTTGACATATACATAAAATAAATCCTCATGATGTAAGGTTGCATTAAAACCATGAGCTGTACCTCGTTTGACTTCAGAGTAAACCGATTCTTCAGTTATCGCAGGAGTTGGCTTTCCTGAGAGAGACAATCAGTGTAAAAAAAGTTCATTATACTGAATATTAAGAATAAGCCTTATGTTTGTAATTGTCATGTATGTAATGGTCATTACAATCTGTCATTATTTGTATTGTTGCAGCCATTAACCCTTTCCCCCTTTAGCCAATAAACTGATTTCAGCATCATCTTTAAGCATTAAAGTTGCCTAAGTATGCAAAATGTTCAGAAGCAACACATCTAAAACAAATGCAGAATTCAGATGTATTAAAGGCACAGTATGCAGATTCCACCACCGGGGGGCGCTCAATCAAAACAATAATAAAAGATGACGTTGGTGCTGGCAGGGAATCGTGAGTTCTCTCTGTTAATCAATTTAATATTTTTTTTATTAATTTAGATATGTCAATGTAAACATTGTAATTAAATTCTACATATTGGACCTTTAATGTAAGAACACCTGACGGTTAATATTAACAATAAAAGCTTACATCACCTGCGATTTGAAAGAAAAAACACTCCATTTATATTGCGCTGTGTTGGAGAGAAAAACTGCAGTTGATTGCTTACTTCACTCACCTTTGTTTTTCTTGGCTTTACCTGGATTATGGCAGCTGATTTGAGAATAAAGGACAGATGGATCTAAAACAAAAGACAGATTTTAGGATTGGTTTTCTTTGTAGACTGAATTTGTAATGTACAGACGGACGGGTTGAAGGATTGAGGAAGAAAAATGTAGAAACACTTGAGTTTCTATGATGACTGTACAGATTATGTGTTATCACGATGGCAGCTCAGCGAATGTTTCTTCTTCTTGCTTTTGTTTGGACCCAAAACTGTCCATCTTAATACTTAATCTGTGAGATGGAAATGTTCTTAAAACACATGACGATCCGACAATAACATGCATCCAACATACGTTAATTTAAACAGCCAAACTGAGCAGTGACAGGAATAAATGCCCCAAATTTAGCTAACATTTGACAAATTTTGTCTCTTTTGACACCCAGTGGAAATATTTAGAATAATTACTGAACTGCAAGCTGACCCATTATCTCCTCCAGTGTGTACCATGATGCATTTTAACATCAACTTAAAGCAGCACTGTAACCTACCTTCTGTTTCTAACCTCACATCAGAATAAATCGTGCTGTCTGGTTCAGGTTTCTTCCCTATAAGACATAACAAATGAGCCGAATGAACGTAAAAACACTTCAGTATTTTTTCTGCTGTATCTTATTGAAATACTTACCTTTCTTTCCGATGTTTTTGAGCTCGATCAGAGAATATGTAACATCATGGGACTGGGACTGGTTTGCATCTGAAATATATGTTTTGTTATCCACAAACATTCTGGGCCGTGCATAAACTACAGTTCATCTACAGTCGGAAAATATTTCAGGAAACAGTTTAGAGCGTATTGGCTGACATCATTGTCCTGGTTTCACTGAGTCAAAACTAACTATAAATATTTATGATTAATTCAAACGCTTACCCTGCAGGGGAGGTGAGTATTCATGATGCTGAGCGGCCGGATTTGTGGCCGAGTCCTGGTTGGTGCTTTCAGACTGGATTGACCTCCAACATTGAGTAAATAAAAAGGTGTTAACATTGGACATAATGGCAAAGTGTTTATGTAATGTTCAAAATGAGACACAAGAGAGCACTGAACCAACCTGATAAGGCATGAATCTGTAAAAAAGACATTGTGTTGTTCTTTTAGTTTGCCACCATTTCATGTCAAACATTTGGAATAAACCATCAAATGTGTAAGAGAAAAATATTAAATAAAGGTCTCACCCTTTGACTGCCTGCAGCGATACAACAGGAGCAGAAGAATTATAAGTACTACTCCACAAATCAGCCCGACAATCACGAGAATTACAGGATATGAAGGGTTCCCAAGCCTGGACACCACTACAAATAATAACAAATAACTGTTAATGAACTTATAAAACACTTCTTAAAATTATAGACAATGATAATTAAATGTTTTGTCATGTTGTCTCAAGCAACGGTGAAGACAAAACACAAACATGTGCAAAGAAAATAGTCTACAATGAATACATCATTTTATCGCAATCCAGGATTTAACCAAATTACTCATTCAACACTAAATTATTGAATCAATAAGGTCAATCACTTAAAGTGTGGTTACTTCCAACTAGATGGTGTATTTGACCTTTTTCTTTTTCAGACAAAACATGGTTTACATAAAATCATTCAGTAATTTGTATCTTTGTAAGGATGGGAAAGTGGCTTAGGCTAAAGAAAGAAAAAAAAATCAAAAATTCAGTCCAAGTGAATTTTTTTAAAATTAAAAAAAAAAAGTGCAGCAATATGTACAGTACAGGCCTGGAGAAAAATGTAAAAATAACAAATAAAACTAGCAAGAAATAAGTAAATAACAGAATGTAAAAAGTGACAAACTAAAGACGCGACTCAGTGCTAAACAATGCCACCGTGGGCCCTTGCAGCGCGGCACACTCTTTGGTTACTGTCAACAATTCTCCAACACTTTGCCCCTCCAACCACCAACAACCTGCAAGGCCCTCAAGCCTCCTCTTATGTAGGAGTTGGCACCCCGACCAAAAGAGGTTAGAAATCAATGAACTCTCTGGAGAGTATTACCTGTTCTGCAAGAAGCACAAAACATCTACAATAAGGCTAAAAACACATCAAAATACATTTCAGTTAAAGGGATACTTTTTTGCTGCTTATGAAAAAATAAATAAAACATTTGAAATGACTTTGTCCGAGGTCATTCACACCCAAGTACTGGTTGCTAGTCATGCTAAGCTAATGTTAACACAGGCCTCTAAGCCGGCTTGATGTTACTTCAAGAGTGTCTGTTTAACATTAGTGCATGAAAGTATGTACATTACTTTAGAGGGCACGGGGTATCTCCCTGACTATCCCACTCACCTTTTACTGACATCCAACTCTGAGACGACTCTCTCCCTGAGGTCTGACACTTGTAGAAGCCCTCATCAGACTTTGACACAGCAGAGATATTAAGCTCCTTTCTGGTATTGTTTTGAATGAGTTTGTTATTCTGATAGAAGAACACATTGGAAACAATATCTGAGCTTCTCAATCTGCAGCTAAGACTAACTGAACTTCCTTCAGTCACTGGATGGACAGGGCTCACCAGGATAATTTCAGAATCTGTAAAACAGTTAAAGAAAAGAGGATTCAGTCAGAGATCATCAGGTTCAAACATGAAAATTAGCAGACACAGAATGATGAGAATATATTTCTTCTTTTTTTACAGCAATGCTTCAAAGTGATGATTAATCTGATGTGTTGTCTTGTGTACACCTTACTCCTTCTTATGTTTAAGACTTTGGCATCAAATGTGTTTGAACAGCAACTGTCTACAAATGTGATCAGTATTTAATAATGATATACACTCAGACCTTAATCTTTGCTTTTATCTAATTAAGAGAGTAAACTCTCCCACACTGGGCTGCTCTTTTACTTCTCAATGTCGATGGAGATAACGTGGAACTGAATGATGTTGAATTGAATACTTGGATGCTGAAAGATAAAAACTTTAAGAAGAAATGTAATAAAAACATACTCTGTTTAGTGATGTTGACAGCGTTGCTGAACTCCCCTGATCCAGACTCACACCAGTACACATTATTTCTTGAGATGTGACGATCTATTGTGCATGTTGATCCAGTCATTGTATCCCTCAGGGAGCAATCTGCCAGGAAGCTGTCCTCTTGAAACTTCACTCTCCACTGAGTAGAGTTCCCCTTACACTCCAGTGAGACAGAATCAGAGGTGAAGTGTTGGACTCTTTCAGGACTCACTGTGAGAGATGCTGATGAAGGCAAATCTAAAAAAGAATAAAAGAAACAAGAGGTTCAACAAAGCCCAGACCGTTAGCTGCCATTGGACTTTATATTTAATGTAGATATCCAACCAAGGAATTCGGTCTGTAAATTAAAAGACTTTCTTTGACCTGCCATTTTTCAAAGATATGACAGATTAGCATTGTTTTTTTCTCGCTGGTCCATATTCTGTTTTATCAGGAATGCCTGAAATAGATTTTTCATATAGTGTGTACATACCACTGATTACTGACCAACATTATTTTAATCAAACAAGCCCTCACATGTGAGAGTCAGCAATTAGCAATAAGATGCTTAATTATACAAAGTAAAATGTTTTTATTGAACGATTATTTAAGTGATAGACTCTAATAATCTTCCTTTTAGTGTTTTTCATGCTACCAAAAACAACAACAACCACTCACCAAGGAAACGAGTTTGGCATTTGGCTGTGTATGTTGTACTGTAGGCTCATGCATATGCACTTGTGGATACACACACACCACATATATGATACTTTTAAATTTAGACAGATGAAGATATATTTACAAACTACCTGCACATTAGCTCCAAGTTAAGTTGTGTATTTATTTTGATAATCGAGTGTAGATATTGAGCTTTCTGTTGAACTATTTTGAGAATGTATATGTATGTATACACGCTTACAACTCAATGAAAAGTTGTTCACTAAAAGGAAGGGGAAAGAAAGAGCATGAAGTCATCGTGATCGATTCCTATCTTGCTCTTGGATTGTTGTACAATACAGACAAAAGTACTGAAGAAACTCTATGTTGTTCATAGATCAAAACTGAATAAAGATATTAATCTCAAGATAAAGACAGAAACAAACTGACCTCCAGACCAGACAAACTTTGGTTCACTATAAGGAGTGTTCATTTCTCCTCTTCCAGCTCTGCACACATATCCTGCTGTGTGTGTCTGTCCATGAACAATGAAGGAATACTTTTCAGTTCCAGTGTGTGTGTTTGGGAATAGCTTCATACCAGTAGAACCTCCATCCTGCTGATGGGTGTTTAACCTCACAGTTCAGAGTCACAGAGTCTCCAGGACTCAGCCAGAGTGGAGACACGGTGAGGACAGGCTGGGGTGAACCTGTTGGAAAAGTGATTATTCAAAGAAATAAAACCATGTAATGATGGAATATCTGATAGTACAGTATAATGTTTATATGAAAGAAATGTTACTTACTGGATAAAACCGTTAATGTGATGGGATCGCTCCAACCTGTTGGAGACTGGTCACTTTTTTTTCTGCCCTTACAACTGTAGTTTCCACTGTGTGATGTATCAGCAGGTCCAATACTGTATTCCTTTTCCTTTGGAGGTTTGAATGAGTTGCTTGTTTTCCACTCGTACTCCCACTCAGCGTCGTCTCCATCCTTTATCTCACATCTTAGAGTAATCGACTCTTTAGAGTAGATTTCAGACCAATTGGGGTGCAGAGTCACGACAGCCTTGTTTGCAACCGCTAATGTTGAAGAATTCACAGTAAGTATACAAAGATGAAAAAACCTTAAATCTACACCAAAGAATGTCAATATGCAAAACTTACTATTTTCTTTTAACTGAATTGTATTACTGTCCTCTGTGTAGTAAACTGGGTTTCCTCTCTCTCCTCTACACCAGTAGAGTCCTTCCTTTGAGACACGCTTTTGTCCAGCCGAGGAGAATTCATGTATGGATGATGGGTTAGAGGATTTATCTGCTCTGTACCAAAAGTAGTATTGCCAACCAGATGAAGAGCTCACATCACAGGTCAGGGTCACATAACCTCCTACTGGAATATATGTGTCATCAGCCTTCAGCTCAGCCTTTGGTTTTTGTTCTGTTCAGTTTAAAACAGGGATATAAAAATAGATTACTGTTTCTTTAAATAGCCATTAATAAAATACCTTATGGAAATAAATACACACGAATTTCATCCATGAAACTTATTGTACCAAAGAAACACTTAATCACTGTGATCTGCACTAAAACTTTCTCAATGAAGAAATAAAGTCACAATTTGAGTACTGTTCAGCTATGAATGATAGTTTCTCTTAACATACACAAACATCCTAAAAACTGTTTTGATGTTGATTTTAAGTCCATCTTACCTGATACTGTCAATGTGATTGGAGTGCTCCATGGTGTTGAGGAAAGTAGCTCAGTTTTGTGTTTTCCCTTACACTTGTATTCTCCTTCACTGTAAGAAGTAGCAGTGATTTCAAAGGATTCACTTTGTCTTACAGTTCTATCAGAGCTGGTTGTTTCCCACTCATACTCCCACTCAGAGTCGTCTCCACCCTCGATTTCACATCTCAAAGTGATCTTCTCTCCGCTGTGTATCTCAGTCCAATGGGGCTGAAGAGTCACAACAGCTCTGTTTGATACTGTTTGTGTTCAAGAGATCCCAACAAGAACACAATGATGAGAAAAAAAGAAACATCTTTAGTCTTTTTATATCAATCAATTTATGGATAAAAAACATTTTTACAACTTTACAAAAATGTTAAACTCACAAATGATGTTGATAGTGACTGAATCACTGTACTCTGTGTAGTAAACTGGTTCTCCTCTAACTCCTCTGCACCTGTAGACTCCTCCCTTGGAGACACTGATTCGTCCATTAAAGTTTTTACCATCATCTTGTGTGCCCGGGTGATCTCCTCTGTACAAGATGTACGTCCAGCCAGATGATGGAGGGTTCACATCACAGGTCAGGGTCACAGCGCCCCCTGCTGGAATTGATGTCCTGTCAGCTCTCAGTTCAGCCTTTGGTGTTATTTCTGTTTGATTTGGAAACAAAGATGTAAAAAGGTAAATTACCGTACCTACAATTTGGTCAAATTCAAACAGTGCTGAGCCCAGAAGTAAAAATGACTTGAAGAATTATGAGCTGAAACTAGTGTTAAGATTTATCTCTTAAATTATATTAAATTTAAAGTAGTTAAATTCCAGAAAAGACCCAGATCATGTATCACTTTAAAAAAACAACATCAATCAATCAAATGTATTCATAAAGCACATTTAGAAAAACAAGACAAAAACTCACACATACATATGTGCCCAAAACAAATGCACACACAGAATACTAACATATAATCAGACTATAATATTAAATGATATTTGATAGAAATACATCAGAAAGAAACACAAGCAACCTAATTAGGACTCAAAAGCCAACATGTAAAAGTGTGTTTTGAGGCGTGACTTAAAAGACTCCACAGAGGGGGCAGACCCTGACTGAGGGAGGAAGGCTGTTCCACAACCGTGGGGCCTTGACTGCAAAGGCTCGGTCGCCTCAAAGTTTATAACGGGAAGGAGGCGGAGCCAGGAGGCCCATGTTTGAGGATCTGAGATACTTTTCTCACTTTGACACAGCAATCATAACTTAGGAGAGCTCTATCAATATCAACAAACATCTTCTTTGTCAAATGTGAATAACTTAGCCAATATTTATAAGAAATTATTCAGACACTGTTAGTGACATCAAAATTCACTGTTTTAAATCATATTAAGACATATTTTAAGCAGATTACAAAAGATGTGATAGTCTTAAGTTTCTCAGTTATTTTGTTACCATGCTGAAAGTTAAAAAATAATTTGTCACAGCTCCCTGCAAAGACTTTAAGCAAGCAATGTTTTGTTTTCTCATTTAGATGAAATCATTTCCACCTGGACATTTTAATTATTGACAACATGGTTCAACTTACGTGTTACAGTCAATTTGAAGGGTTCACTCCAAGGCGTGAAGGTAGAATGAGGGGATCCCCTTCTGCCTGAGCACTCATAGTCTCCGTTGTCAGAATCAGCGGCTTGGCTAATAATGTATTCATTGTCTGTTGTATATTTGGATGTTCTGGATGTTCTGTCTCTTCTCCATCCAAACGTCCATTCAGAGTCTCCACCTCCCTCAATCTCACATCTGAGAGTGAGCGTCTCAGCCCAGAATGTTTCAGGCCAGTTGGATGTAATGGTCACACGGGGACGGTTACCTGTTCACATCACAAAGAAACAGGATTGGAAAAAAAACTAAAAATAGAAAATATTACAGTTTTCATCCATGATCCTTATTGTAATGATTTAAATGTCTGTACAATATAACTGTAACAATAATGACACAACAATAATGTTGTAAATGGTTTTAAAGTAACGTATAAAGCAGCGTTAAAAGAAGCAGCTGTTGAAGAGATATAAGAGCTTACAGAGTCACAACAGTTTCTAGAAATACCAGCAGCTTTCCATGGTGAGGACAGAGTCGAGTCAAAAGAGAAAACTAAAATACATAGCTTAAAAAAAACATTTTCAGTTCATGTTCTAGGACATTTTCTTTTAAAACTTAAGAGATAATACATAAACACAAAACACTACATGTGGATGATGTTAAAGAGATGAAGTAGGTAATAAATAGAGGAACTGCAGAAATATTTAAAAAACAAAAATCAGAAATATAAGACAATCACTTACCTTGAGCCAATCCGTGGGGGATCAAATTCAGCACTAAAATAAAGATTAATAGTTCATCAGGGAAGAATTAAAGGTGTTAAATCCAGATAGAGTTTCATTTTAGGTAACTGTTATTGTCAAAACTTTCAAAAACGAGATGGTTCATCTCAAGGGGCTATCCATCAATAAACAGAATTTTCTCAACAAACGTTTGGCAGCCATTTCAATCCTAAAGCTTTTTTTTCCAAAACTATCGACTATTTACTGTTGCCTTGTTCAAATGTTGTACAAACAGCAAGTGCTTAACTCCTGTTGTATTATTCAAACAGCTGAACTACATGTTCATAGAAACATGACTCGCTGTTTGAAAGTCACAAAACTTAAAGAGCTCTGATGTACTCACAGAAAAACCCAGCACACAACGCAAGGTTTGGTCCATCTTCACATCCAAAACGACAATGAAACTCTGACGCTTAGTTTTAAAATAAAACATTAACTTTACATTTCTAATAATGCAGAAGGAAAGAGGAGAAAGACAAGTAACAGTTCATTAAAATGTGAGAGCAGAGTTTCTCTCGGACTTCTGTCTCTGTACTTCCTTCTCATACACAAAATTCTAAGAAGTGCCAACCTCAACCAACCTGTTTACACTTCCTGTCTACTGCTCGAATAGAAATGAGATAAGATCTGTGCAGGGTCCAAAATTAACTTTTTGACTCACCGGCCAAGGTGGCAGGTAGATGAAAAACTTCACCGTCCAAACATATTTCTTTTACCGGCCAAAATAACAAATTTTGTTTTTGTGTCTGTACACATCTGTTACAGCACATTTAATTGAGAAGACATTATGTTTTGTTAATCAATAACAAATTTAAGTCA